CCTGTCTGGTAAAAGCACAGAAACCTCTTCGTAACTACACAGTTGTTCCAGTTTTATTTCCTTCTGCATACACCTCTTGCATAGCAACCTGCCCAGATAACTTCATTAATTTCTTAAACTTACACTACGTTTAAGGGAGACACAAAAATGCAAGTGACTCTCCAAAGATGTGAAGCATTATTTGGTTGGCAAACAATGTCCTCCAAGATCTACTGACACAATAAATGATACTGATGCACAGACTGCTGTAGTAATGGCAATAACATCTCTGGGAATCCAAATGCATATCTTAATTTATACTCTCTGCCACCAGCAAATGGTAAAAGAACAAAAATAGTAGCTCTTATTCCCATAAGAATCTAAACAAAAATATGTGGAATGGCTTATATAAAATGACAAGAGTTTCAGTTAATTAACAAATACCATTTCCAAAGCTTTTCTAGATTTGTACTATACAAAACAAAAACAAAATAAAACTAAAACAATACTAAAACTAAAACAAAATAAAACAAAAACAAAAAACAAAAATAAAACAAACACCACAGCCTTAAAAACTTATGTAAATTTCACACAGGAAAAAACATCACTTTGCTGAGTGGAAAAGATGAATCAAGATTAACAGAGAAACACTATTTTTAAAACTCCTAAAAATGTTACAGAGTTAAAAATATTAAGTAATAACTATTTTTATAGCAGCTGGCAATGTCCATTTAAGGCTGACATTTTCTTGGAGTTGATTAGTACTACATATCACATGCAGCTTTCACTGTTCTGAGCTTATTGCAGTACAACAGCATAATCTGTATGTTTTAAAACTCAGAATTGATCCCTCCTTTCGGCTTAAATCCAAGTTATAATTATAAAAAATGCACTAATTTTTTGAAAGAATAGTGCCGCTTATATTTTAACATAGTGATCTTGTTGTTTTCATATTGCAAAACTGAAACTAGACTAGAATAAACACAGAAGGAAAAAATTAAGGCTTAAACCAAGTTTAATATGTAGCTCCAACACACCATCACAAAGCCCAAGAGGCAGGATATGCAATCCTGCATTCCTTATGCACTCGTAATACCTCTTGGCTTCAGTGGAAGTTTTGTTTAAGAAAGCATACAATCAGAACCTATAATTTCATTAATTGCACGCCACAGGCAGTCCATGTGAGGTAAGAATCATGAACCAAACTGGTTGGAAGGATGGTGGAACCCATTAGCCCCGCCTGCATCTTTGGGGACCACTGAGTCTCTGCAGCAAAACCATGAATCCTTGCTTTCCCTACTCACCATACTTCCAGCTCTTCCTCATGACAGACTGCATCTGTCATGCAGACAGTAGTGCAGATGTTTCACTCGGGACACATCAGAGCTCTCAGGTCTCTGTTACTGTTCTGCACTACGATCCTTCCCCAGACTGTTGGCGGTACTGAGGGTTTCACCCGATGCAGATCTCTACTCTGTTGGGATTTTTATATTATTCATGCTGGGCACAGACAAAATGAATGTTATGTAGCTATTAGTACAGAGTGCTTTGAAATATTACATATTTCATTAAATATCTTTTGGGCAATTTAGGAAGCATCATCTAAAAGCCCTGTGAACAGACTTTAACAGTATTACTGTACACATAACTTTTCCATGCATACCATAAACATAAATGATTCTACTGGATGTGTGTTACAGATAGTTTTATGGTATCTCTCAAGATTTACTTATATATGTAGGAAGAAATAGCATGGAAAAAACCCTTCCATATTATAAAGGCCTTTCATTTGCTAAAACATAATGGGAAAAAAAGGCACTTGAAAGCTAGTTCTTTTTCTAAATATAAAAACAAATAGTCAAATTTTAAAGGAAACCATTCACAGGATGAAGAATTACAGGTGATGTTACAGTGAGGTGTCAATCTACAGGTAGCTCTCCACTGCAAACTGACATTTAGAAGCACACAGCAGATAGTTCTTCAGCTACAAAACCCCCATTACCTCCCCATATAATAAAGTGAAAACTCTAGTTAATTTCTACTTGTGTCAGTGAACACAATTCAATTTTTACAACACCTAACTAACAAACTTACAATTTATTTTACAACAGCCTTAAAACACAAAGCAGGAAGAGAATCTCCAGACCATAAGTAAAAAATTTTATTCTTAACTATCCTAAATGCTCAGACTTTGTAAGGAACCTGCCAGTGTGTCAACGCACACAAAAGAACAAAATAAAAAGTAAACAAATGGAATATATAAAAATGAGGGTGAGTTAGGGATAAGGAGGATGAAAAAACAAAGGAAAGGGAGGGAAAAGAACAAAAGAACACTTTTTAAAAGAGAGAAAGAAAAGCATGACAATGAAAACAAATGAATCGTTGAAACTATGGTGGGAGGAACTGATGAATATTAACTTTTATTATTCCGATTACAAAATACATTTCAAAATTGGATGAAACACATTCTGTGTATGTTTTGCCAAGGACATTCTTGGCAATTACAAAGTCAGGAAAATTATAATTCAATCAGTGAGGCATTACTTAAAACCACTTGAAAAAAGCAGATCACTTGAACCAGCAAACAGGCTGCATGGGTAAAATTTTACGGACTCAATATTCTGAGCAGTGCAGATTGCACTCACATGTTGCAGAGTTCCAATAATGGGGCCATTAGAAATACAGCAATTTTTCTTCCTGGGTGCATTTTACCAATCTTTCTTCTAGTAAATGAGCAACAAAGCCTCATCATCGTTTTCTATATAAAATGAGGACAGTTCTAGGGAAAAAAAAAATCAAGCACTTGTAGAGCTTTTATTTTGCTAAAAATATCAAGAACTTTTATTTTGCTAAAAAATCTGATTTAAACTTCTTTAAAAGCTGTACTGTCTACGACAACCAGATCACATTTATAAAGATGGTTGCTGTATTTATCATGCGCATGTAGGGCACTTTAGCATGCACGGAATCTGTGCGCTTGCCTCGAAATGGATGATACAGTCCTAAAAACGTAACGAATACGTCATTACGTCTGTTGCTACACTGGCAAAACCCACAACAAACAGGTCACCTTGACCTCTGTCATGTACTCTGTAATTTCACAGAACTGCTGACACCCGAAGAATGGGATTGACGGAAAAAGGCGCCAGGCATTCACCATTCCCATTGGAAAAAGTGTGCCTTGCGTTCCCCGCAGTAATGCTTATTTACATATCGCCGTGACTGCGCTGGGAAGGCGAGCGATGCAGCCTTTTGATTTAACCCGGCAGGTTGCCGAAGCCTCTGTAAATTGCCCGTGGTGCAGTCAGACTTTCGGAGGACCGAAAACGCCGTGGACTGGCGCTCCTGGGGGGACTGCACCACCCCGAGCCGCCGCAGGCACCCCGAGCCGCGCTCCGCAGCCCGGGCGAAGGCGGGCGCCGCGCACCGGCAGGAGCGCAGGGCAGGAGCCGCTCCCAGCCCAGAACGCCGCACGCTGAGGTCGGGGCTCATTGCAATCGCCGCAGCCGCGGAAGCAGGTGCGCCGCCGCCCCTGTGCGCCCCGGGCTGCGCGGAAGGCGCCGCAGCGCGTCCCGCCCGCTGCCGCTGCCGCTGCCGCTCCCGCCCCGCCTCGCCGCGCTGCGGGGGGCGCCTGACGTGCCGCGCCGGATGGGGGCGGGGGACCACTGCAGCGATGGAAAATTTTCGGCTCCTGCATCTCCTGGGCGTGCCCTCGCCGCTCCCCGCCCCTTCCCGGCTTCCACGCCCGCCCCCCATCCCGGCCTCGGAGGGGGCGGTCCAGAATCTTCGGCGGCGGTGGCCGTCGGGTGCCGCCGCTCGGCGCCTTCACGCCCGCTTCCCCCCTGCTTCCCGCCCGCCTGCCGCGGCGACAGTCGCGGACAGAGTCACTGTCCCCCCGCCCGTCCCAGCCCTGGGGAGGCTCGTGTCCCCGTCAGAGCCGCGAGCACTGCAGGGGGCCCAGGAGCGGGGATGGTGGTGAGGGATTCGCGGTCCCTCGAGGGTGTGAACTGCTCTCGTGTCCCGGCGGCCGCCGCTGCCCCGGCACAGCAGACAGGCAGCCGCCTCTCGGACCCTCCACGGGCTCTCGATGCTGCAGAAGAAGGGAACGAGGGCGATAACGCAGGGGGTCAAGCGACTCCGTGGCAGGGCATCCTCCACACTCGAGGCTGGCAGCCCCAGCCTGGCGTGGGAGTGCACTGCTGCCGCGACGACGGGAGCTGGGGAAGCTGATTTGCACCCCCCTGTCCCGCCAGAGCCAGCAGCCAAGCGGGCCCCCCCCTACCCCTGTCAAGCCTCCTTCGGAGCCGTGTCCCTGCACCGTGCCTGTGGACAGTAAAACCCCGCCGTCCGCTTCCACAGGGGGCCGAGCAGCAAAGCTCTCCAAATCTTCTGGAAAAGGAAGCAGGATGTTCTGTTTCCCCTTCTCTTCCCTACATGGGGTTTATGGTGAATCACATCACTGGGGGGAGTCTGTCATTCCGGTTCACTTCCCGAAGGAAGCGTTCGGGCACTCTGTCTGCCGGCTGCCCTCGGGCTCCGGGCTCGCACGTGCGCTGCTGCGGGTGTTAAAAATAGCGAGTGACTGCACCGGGCAGCTATGGTGGGTCCGCGGCACCTCGGCCCGCGCCGGGGGCAGCCGCGGGGTGGAAGAGGGAGGCACATCCCGGGTGAACCGGTGGCCAGCGGGTGCTGCAGTCACGCTGCGGATGCTGCACTGGGCCGGTGGAAGCGCCTCTGAGGCAGAGCGCGTCTGACAAGCACCGCAGCGTCCCGTCTAAACCAGTGCCCCAGTGTAAACACTGGAGAGCTGCTCGGCTCATGTGCCAGCGGCCGCGCTCCTGACCCCCGCCGGTGCCCGGCTCCCAGCCCTCGGTCGGGGACGCCCCCGCACGCTGTGCCCCCAGCCCGGGCCCGGCGGCGGCAGGGGGTCAGTCGGGCAGGGCGGGGGGCGGCGCGGCAGCGGGCGGGCGGGCGGGCGCCGCGCCCCTGCCGTGACACGCCCACATTCCTGCCTGAAGAGCCGCGGCGCCCCGAGGGGGCCGTCAGAGCGGGAGGGACGCCGGAGCGATACAGACGCGAATTTTTCTTTCCTTTTGATACCTCTGACTTTTTTACGCGATTTTTTTTTTCTACTCTTATTCATCTAGGGGTTTGTTTTCGCTGACATTTCATAGTTAAGGGCTCTTTTTTTCCCTTGCGAGAAGTAGCAGCGGAGACAGGAGAATCTCGTTATTCCGAGGCTTCGGGAGAAACCCTCGCTTTCAAGCTCGTGCGTATAAGGTACGGCAGGGGCTGACTATTACCGGGCCGCCAAGAAGAACGGGGTGACTTTTCGGACGGAGCGCGGCTCGTCCTGCGCGTCTTTGTGCGGTGGCAGCGCCCCGGCTTGTCGCCAAGACCCTGCCGGGCTCCGCCGAGACGCGCGTAGGGATGCGCCGCCGCCGCATCCCGGAAAGGCGGCAAACCCGCAGAGCGACTGCGGCGCGACGCGGTGCCGCGACCGGCTTGCCTTTTCCCGTTGGAAACGCCGGGTCGCGCGGTGTCGCCGGCGGGGGGGCGGGAGGTAAACACAGGGAGGGACAGCCGCGGGGCGGGAGGCTCCGGCAGCCGATGTGACAATCGCGCATCGGTGTTGCATCAGTCTGCTCTCCGCTATCGGGGCGGGGAGGCGGAGGGGGAGGGGGGGGGAGTGCGGCGTGGCGGTGCCGCTGTCTCGGTGCGGTGCCGGTGCCGGTGCCGGTGCCGGTGGCGGTGCCGGTGCCGGTGTTGGTGCCGGTGTTGGTGCCGGTGTGGGCCGCGCGCCCCCGCCCCGCGCGGGGCTCACCTTTGTCCGCGCGCCCCCCGCCCCGCGCGCCTGGTACTTTTCCATTCGGCGGCGGCGGCGGGCGGGGGCCGCGGGGCCACGTGACGGGCTCGCGCCCGCTGCGGCACTGACGTCGCCTCCCGCCCCCAGGCAGGCGCGGCGCGTCCCGCCGGCAAGGACAAAAGAGCGGCCGAGCCCCGACCCCCGCCCGCCAGCATGAGCAGCGCCGAGATGGGCAAGTTCAACATCTCGCCCGACGAGGACAGCAGCAGCTACAGCTCCAACAGCAACGATTTCAGCTACCCCTACCCCACCAAGCCGGCTGCCATGAAGAGGTGAGGGGGCTCCCGCGGCGGGCGGCGCCGGGCGGGGACCCGGCGGTGCCGAGCGTCCGTCGGCAAATCCGTACGGAAACACGGGAATCGCTGCGGCCGGGGACCGGCGCAACGCCCCGCGCGATGACACCGTCGCAGGTGGGGTGGTTCTTTCGGGGTCATTCCGTCGGTTTTTCCTTTTCCCTTCGAAATGGATCGGAAATGCTGATCGGGAAGTGAATGTGCACGGTTCCCGTAAGAGTCACTAATGATGTAACGTTGTTTTGCAGCCACTATGCAGATATTGATCCGGAAAACCAAAATTTCTTGCTCGATTCCAATCTTGGAAAGAAGAAATATGAAACTCAGTATGTAAGTACCCGGCAATGACGTTCCAAATAAACAAACAAACAAACAAAAATGTACTGCCAATTTTGTGTTTGCTTTAATTCTGAGATGACTAATAACTCTCTATTAACTATTACCTATCCATCTTTCCTCAGCATCCGGGTACTACTTCCTTTGGAATGTCAGTATTTAATCTGAGCAATGCTATTGTGGGTAGTGGCATCCTTGGTCTTTCTTTTGCCATGGCTAACACTGGAATTGCTCTTTTTGTGTAAGTATCTTTTGATTCATCAAGAAAACCCCATCTTTCTGGTGTGTAATTCATATTCATATTTAATGGAAAAATACATGGTGTAAGAATATGACCCCATAGAAAACATCCAGTAATTTTCATAGGTGCAGAATTGCACTTTAGGCTTGTTTTGAATTTAAGGATTGTGATACATTCAGAAGAACCTGCAAAAATTAAACTGATTCATTGCAAGTTCTGCAACCCTCAAAAACATTTTACAGTGAATTTTACTTGACTTAGCTGTAGTTTCTCCATTAATAACTGATAGACTTCACCCAAAACTTTTATTATCCAAGTTCCAATCAGGGATGTGGTCTCGCTCTCCTCAGCTGACATCACTGTGCCTACAGAGTTACAATGTACTTAACCAATAAAGAAGTCTGTTTTATTGCTGTGCTCTCACTCTCTTCAGGGGCATGGTTTCAGTTACACCTATAAAAATTTCTGTCTGCCTGCAAGGGAGGGGTGTGGAATAACCAGCCTGTCTTTATTGGCCTGTCTACATTGGCGAAAGCTTTGAGGTGTAGGGCAGAACTACAGAAATGTAATTGGAAATGACATGAGGATCCAGTTATGTACAGTGCTTTTAAACATCTTGGGAAGTACATTTTTCATGTATTGGAGGCAGTTCAGCTCACACAACATATATTATCAGTGACTTGACTGCAAATGAGTATTCATGGGTATGTTTAAAGGAGCTTTGTGTTTTTATCCTGGAAATAGATCAATGTGCTGAATGTTCAAGAACATGTGAAGAGCAATGTTTAGTTCAAAATTTCCCTGACTCTGCTGCCAGATTTCCAGAAAGTAGGTCAGATTTACTTCCAGATGTTTCACAGTGTATGGGGTGGTGCTCAAGTTTCCTGAGGAAACTACCTATGTGTGAATTTTGGACCTAAAGGATTTTGAACACTTGGTGATTTGTTAATCTTTTACTAAGATTTTCACTTGCTTAGGTGATGCTAAACTGAACTAATGACTTAGCGTGAGTCTAGAATAGTTATTCGTGCTCTAAAGATGTTCTGCAGCATGTGAAAGCTAATCAATATAATGCACATTAGAATGTCTCTGAGGAGAGGAAAAAAGAGCATTTAAGGTTAGCTATTTGAACAGACTTCGAGGGTCCTCTTTTCTGAGGAAAAAAATGTTTCAAACTGTCAATTTACCAATTGGATGTGAGGCAATTTAGTTGCTTTTTATTTCCAGATGCTGTATTCAGATCTTGTTTGCATTAGTCCTGTTTCAAAGACAAACTAGCTTGTTACCTTTCAAAACTTGTAGATCGTACAGTTCTGAGGCAGGAAAGCAGTTAATCACAGATGATACTGAGGATTTATGATGACAGTGAGGGCATTACAGGCAGCCCTTAATAACTAGGTTACAGAATCAGATCCAGATGCAGTTGATTAGGGCAGTAAGTTCTTCGAAGACTATGGAGGCACTTCTGTAAGTGCTGTGACTTGTCACTTGTGTCAGCACTAAATAAATGAATAGAATGGTCTGGAAGCCAGAAACAGAGAGCTTGAAGATGAGTTTGCTGACTGATCTTGTCTGCACTGTAGGCAGCGATTCCATGTTAGGACTGAGAGGCCCAGGGTCTGTGCTGTTTTAAAGTAGTGTAACCCTGGCACATCTCAGCTGAGCTGTTTCTACACGGTGACTGAGTCAAATCCTAGTTAATCTCTACCTGTCAGAAATAGAGAGGTTTATCTGTGTGCATGTGTTAGTGTTAGTGAATTGGCGCAGTAACGTAAGTTTCCTACGCAGATCTGTGAAGCTTCTCAGATCTTTTTGTTTCCAGTTCTTTGTGCTGCATTTGCTAACTTTACCAACATTAAAAATGACACAAAAGGAAATGTATTCTGGGAAGCAAAGTTGGCCCTTTTTAAGCCATTTTTGATATGCTGATTCTTAGGTTTCCTATTAAGCAAAATGCTTGTATTGGTATAAGAAAGACCAGGGTTTTTTATTTAATGCCTTGTAATTTTCCACTGTGTTCTCCAGCAGCCGAGAAGTCCCCCCTAGCGTGCCACTCCAGGAAGTGCATTTGTTGTGGGAGAGATTTGTTGTTGAGAGACCCGAATTTTAGGTGATGCAAATGTGCTTCTGGAAATAATATGCATTGCCTGTAAAAGCTGTGGGGAAGATAAACAAGCCACTAGTGATTCCCATGTAAGCACATCTAAAGAGTTAACTTTTGAGGAAAGAATTTTTTTTAAATTACAATAGATGTGTATTTCCATTTGAAAACACAGCTCTCAATGAGCCTGAATTTTCAGTCAATTCTTTAAGGCTTTTGCAGTTTCATCCTTACATAAAAAAAAGAACATAACACCGGTTTAAGCTGGAAAGCTGATTTTTTTTAAGACCAAGAGATAATCTTCACTTCAGCTGTAGTTAGCCTCAGTGTTGAGCAGGGGCAGGAAGACGGGAAAAATACAGTTTCTTACAAGGATGCAAACCTTCCCCTCCACCTGCACGCATTCCCATTGATACTTTGTTAAGTTATTTATTGCCAAATGTAGCCAAGTATAATAGCCTGACTCTTGGTGGTGGTTATGCTACTTTAGACTGAATAGAATCGTTGTTCAAGCCTACAGTAGAATTTCTTTATATGCTTATGAAATGCAATTTAGTATAAAATCCTTTCTATACACGGCATTAATTGGGTTTTCATAACACTTTTAGTAATGTTTATGTTTGATACATTTTCATTTAATAGGGTTACAATAAGTCTTTATGGTTATTACAAATTTGTGTGTTTTTCTCTCCCCAGGATTCTCCTGCTGTTTGTCTCAATATTTTCTTTGTATTCAGTGCATCTTCTTTTGAAGACTGCCAATGAAGGAGGTATGGCAAATTACTCTTACAAATATGTAGTATTTGTTTCTTATGGTATTTTCTTGAAATACACCCCTCCAATGGGATATCGTACTTTCTTTTAGGATCTTTATTATATGAACAGTTGGGAATGAAGGCTTTTGGTATGGCTGGAAAACTTGCTGCTTCTGGATCAATTACAATGCAGAACATTGGAGGTGAGGACAAGATCTTAAAATATCTGTACTGTCAATAGTAATTGTTCCCTGCTTATTCTTGGAGACTTATTTGTCACACAACATGTGTTCATTAACTACTTGTGTTCAAGTGAAGTTATGAAACATGTTATGTGATTCTTGCATCGTGTGGCATATTCTATATTTGTAATGATCTATGATGTTATTCACCTACAGCTATGTCAAGCTACCTCTTCATAGTGAAATATGAGTTACCATTGGTCATCAAGACATTTATGAACATCGAAGAGACCACAGGGTAGGTGTTAGAACTCCTCATCAGAGAAACTATTAGGAGAAACAAATACGGAGACTGTATATACTTTTATATGAAGACCACGTTCGGTACACCATAGGGTAGCTTCTTATTCAGACAGATCTTCATTTAGATCCAGCCTGACCTGGGGAAAGGGTAGAAAAATACAGGTATTGCATCATATTGCAGAAAGCTGTTCTGTAAAGAACATCAGGTAAGTGTTAATGTATGTACCAGTCAGTACATACACTTGATGAGGAAAGATAAATGTGATTGTGGTTGTTTGGTTTTTTTTTTTGTTTGTTTTGTTGGGTTTTTTTAATTTATTTTCTTAATGCATTCAAAATTGTTTGGTCTGATTAATTTAGTTTTCTAGTATAAATACTGTGGCAAGTGATTTAATGTAAGACTAAGGTGCAGTTATGGAAGGAATGTCTTAAGGAGCAGTTCTCAAAAAGATTCAGAGACTAAATATTGACCTAAACCAGAGTTTATATACCTAAGACTAGAGTGGTAGATGCCTTGCCATCTAGCCCTGGAGACACCTTGACTCCAGAGTGGCTTTCCTGCTTGGCTTTAAAAAGAGGATTCATTTTATCTAACCCTATTTTGAGTTCACCATTACAATGGTCCTAGTACAATCAGGGGAGAAGGGTGATCCTCTGTAGTGATCAGTTTGGCGCACCTGACTTAGACACATTTTGTGTGTCTCCAAAGAACAGGTGATCATATCACTCTGTATTGAGAGGGTGTGTAAAAACAAGATGCCTGAGTTCAGATGGATAGAGTTAAGTGCTATAAATCTCACTCTTCAGAGTTGTACTTCTGTGCCTTGTCCTGAAGTGTCCCAGTCTTGAGAGGGCTGAGCAGCTCAAGACTCCAACTTACACCTAAGCCTGAGTTCAGAAGGTAGGCATTTTTCTGCCGTGTTCCCCAAGGGGTTCAAGCCATTTGGTGGTGTTCATTCAGCTTGCTGATAAATACTGTCATAATAACAGTGCTAGCCATATTTTTTTTCCTTTAATTTTTTTTAGTGTACTCAAATGCTGCACCTACCCTATTTACTTAGTAGTGTTATGTTTACAAATTCTTTGCTGGGAAGTTAATTTCTCTCCTTTGGCTGAATTCAAGTCCTTATTTTTCGATTCTTAAGAGAGCCCCTGGAGTAGCCAGTATTTAGAAGGGGGCTCGGAGGCAAATATTTTTTAACTGTCCCATCTTCAGTAAAGAATTCAAAACTGGTTGCAATTCAAGAGGGAAAGTTAAAGTCTGTGAATCTCTCTGGATACAGCTGCTGCTCTGCAAATCTGGCAGAGAAAATTAAGAAATTGACATCTCTGTCTTAAATGCTTTCTTGTTGGCTGGCACTAGGTACACTGATTTAAAGTAAATATTTTCTCAGTGCTCTGGCAATTGTGAACCCCATTTAACTGACTCTCTCCATGCATTGCTTAGGGGAGTCTGGGTGGCTACCATTGGCATGGATTCCACTCTGGCAGCCTGGGGCCCGAAATGTAAGCACTTACCTGTTTGAGTGTCCCAAAATAATGTTTACTGTAGAAAAACTTCTGGACTTCTGAGACAATATTGTAAATACTAGCTCCATTATTAAAATTTGTTTAGCAACTTCTAAAGTACTTGGCTATATTTTAAAACTGCACAATCCCATTCTTTACTCTTCAGGACGGAAAAACTTTGAAGTCCTTGATCTGAAAGTCCTGATGGCCTCTCTATGGTATGCACAATAGCAGTGCATGTTCTTGTGATTGTATCAACTGCAAGAAATTTCTTTGTTGTGATTTCTTTTAAATTTGCCAAAAGTCTACTATGTTTTAAAAAAAGACAACAAAAGGTGTATGGTGTCAATGTCCTATACATCTGAAGTTTTTAAAATAATACTCCTTTTTTACATCTAGTTATCCCAGGTAACCATCTGAGGAAAGAGATGACTGCATCATTTTTGCATTTATTATGTAAATCCAGAGCAAGTCTGTTAATTATTCCATATTTCCATTACCATATAAAAGGCTATAATTCAGCAACTGAGTTTGCATATACAAATTTCAAATTAAATTTTTTACCTAAATAGCATACAGTACATTTTAAAATAAATACTGTTAAATTATATCATAATAGGATGCAAAGTATTAATACTTGGGAATAAATGTGTAACTTAGTGTTACTTTAATTGCTTAAAGCATAAAAGATGGTCCTGTAGGACTTCATTTTTATGTGTTTCAAAAAAGATGTTAATCTTCTAATGCTCAAAAATGTTTTGTGAAAAACATTTTTCTGCTTCTTAAAGAAAAAATGGCAGAAATGCTCTGAAGGAAAAAGCCCCTGAAGTTCTTATCATGTTTTCCCTACTGAAAGGGACGAAATGTGCCTCCAAGAGACTCCCAGTGCTTGTTGGAGTTTTCTCAGCCAGTGGGCTTGAGCTATTGCCTTACCTTCAGCCCTCACCTGTTTTTCTTTAATTCCCACAGGGCACTCAACAGAATTTTATTTCCATTAAAAATGGAAATCCTGCCGGGGCCCTGCAGTATTCTAACACATCTGGAGAGTTGGGAACCAGCACTTAAGAAAATTATATTTTTTCTGTGATTGATCCCACTTGACTTTTTTCTAACCAAGCATTTACTTTTCTTTCTTCTGACTTCCAGATGTTATTATTTTTATAAAAGGACACTAAAGGAAAGGCACAATGCAGGTTTGGGGTGAGATAAGAAGCTATTGTAGGGTGTTAGGCCCATATAGGAAATTAAATGCTGTCATTTGTGACATCAGGTAGTGCATTTTTTAAGGAGCCATATGTTGTAGAAAATAAGAAGGAAGACTAAACTGCAAATGCAATCTTTAAATACTTGATTACTTACAAATATTACCTTCTTTTCTACAGAGAATGGTATCTCAATGGTGACTATTTAGTGCTGCTGGTGTCTGTCATTCTCATTCTTCCCCTGTCCCTGCTGAAAAATCTAGGTAAGTAGTAGAGAGCATTTAAAATAAAAACTCATTGGAAGAACTGAGGTGAAATGTGTTGATGCAATGTTTGAGTCTTGAAATTCTGTCTGAATTAATAGCTGTCTCCAAACTTGTGACTTGGGACTAATTAGCATTTAGGTAATTGCTGTCAATCTCCTTGAAGAAAGGAAAAAAAAAAACCAAGACAAGTATACTAAATTACAAATGTGTTTGTGGAAGATGAAAAGACAGCAGATAGGATGGCTTCAGAACAAAGCTCAACAGTAACTTTATTTCTGTTCTTATCACAAAGCTTGACCTATTTTGGTCAATGGTGAAATAGTAAATATTGTTACCAGCTATCCTGTAACAGCCTTCAAAGAGTAGAGCTGCTAACTCTGGGCAGCATCTTCTCATTTTAGATCCTGAGGAGTAACAGAGTATTCATGCCAGATGCTGTATCTGAAATAGCTGTAATTCATTGGTATATGTGAATAATTCAGATAACAGGCTGTTTATTCAGAGAATCCTGTAGTAGAACTTCAATAACTGAGAGTCTCAATGTGAATTACTCTCTCAAATTACTATTTTCTAGAAGTAAATCAGTAAAAACAGAAGGAAAAAGGCTAAGTTACCTGATTGTGTGTGCTGTTAAAATTAATCCTATATCGTTCTTAGTATACAATAAACAATTCATATGGTTGCTGCTGTGAGATTTTTTAGTTTGCTTCCTTTTCTTGTTAAAAAGTTTAACATTACAGACTCTCTGTATGTACAGACCCTAATATGTCTTTCAGAACCTTCAGATCTGGGTTGGGATTAGCAGAAACTCAATGAATAATTAATTTGTTCTGTGTATTGCTAAGGAAATGACAATCTAAAGAGATCACTTGACAGAATACATTTTGCCATTCTGTTTTGACTTGAATGATGTTTAGATTTTTTTTGTCTTTCTTGATCACAGGGTATTTGGGCTATACCAGTGGTTTTTCCTTGCTTTGCATGGTCTTCTTTCTGATTGTTGTAAGTATAATCTTGTAAACTTGTTGTAAACTTTACAGTGCTTGTAAAACTGCATTTCAAAGCAAAATTAAGCAGTTTCTAAAAATTTTCACATCTTGCATTAGTCAAAGTAATAAATACGTGGCTTTATTTCTAGGTCATTTGGAAGATGTTTCAGATTCCTTGTCCTGCGGACAGTGTCATCATGAATGTGACATTACTTAATGCAACAGTGGCACCTTTGGTAGCTGAAAATATAACAAGTGAGGATATGTGCAAGCCAAAATATTTCATCTTCAATTCACAGGTAACTGACCGAAAAAATCAGATCCTCTGTGGAGAATAACTAAGAACAAGTATGCAGTAGATAAATAAGATAATTTTTCCTTCAAGCACTTGCCCAGTTTTAAAATAGGGATGCGTTAAGACTTTCTGTTCGAGTAGACTTGGGCACTGTTTACCTCATGGAGACTGGGTTTTTCCACATGCCAAATACACAGAAATTAGAGCAGCTTGAAGTGCCTGTTTGAGTGGTAAAAAAAACATCTCTCATTCTTTAGCACAGCATTTCTCAAGCTTTCTCAAAAAAGTTAATGAAGCATTTTAATAAGTAGATTGCAGAAGAAAATGAAGAAAATTGTAGAAGTGTGCAAATAGGATGTTTGACTTGTTCCCAGTCAAATTCTTGTTCAAAGTCAATTCTTGACTCATGAATGCTCCCAATTACAGTGATGAATCTCCACATGTAATACACAATAGCAAATTCAAGATCTAATCACTTTTAAGCCTGTGAGTTGCTGAAAATAATTTTGAATGCAAATACATTCATCTCACCATGGAATTCAGTGAAATTTGAGACTATTTGGTACCTCTTGATCTGGGTTTAAGAAAATATGAACTTGTTTAAACTTCTTCTGCAGTTTCCATTGTAAAGAATAGCTGGTCTTTATTACCAAATAAGGCCAAAACTGAAGAATCTCCTGATGATTTTGTAAAGTAAATTTCTAATGTCTGTTGAGATACTTAAGAAACTTTTTTTTTTTCAGACTGTTTATGCTGTCCCAATCCTAACATTTTCCTTTGTCTGTCATCCTGCAATTCTTCCTATTTATGAAGAACTGAAAGGGTAAGTGTTAGATATAGATCTGTAATTTCACTGAACAAACAAATAGAGTATGAAACAAATAGAGTATGTTCTCCCTGCTAACAATGTTACTTTTTCTTACAGCCGAAGCCGTAAAAGAATGATGAATGTGTCCTACGTATCTTTTTTTGCCATGTTCCTCATGTATTTGTTGGCTGCTCTCTTTGGATACTTGACATTTTATGGTAAATATTGTCTCTCTGCTTTCTTTGAATGACTTACGTTCTGCAAAATCAGAGTGTTATTTTAAAAATAGAACAAGCAAGCATTTACTATGCATTCTAAATATACACTGTTACTTGGGCTTTTTTTTTAGTACTTCTGTAAGTGCACACCCTAAAGGAGATCAGTAATAGAATTAGGCCCAAGACATAGGATTAAAATTGGATTAAGCCAGATTCTGTGCCTCCAAGTCATCCCTGTGTAAAATGGATACATTCTTACAAGAGCTCTTGAGGCTTTCAGTTCGTATGGATTATGTAACTGTAAAATTTGTGTGGAATCTAGAGCAGAAACACATGTTTAAGAAGTATGTCAAAAAAATCTAACTAAAATACTGTTTTCTTTATAGGAAAAGTTGAACCAGAACTGCTTCACACCTACTCTGCTTATCTGGGTGCTGATGTTCTCCTTCTTATTGTGCGTCTTGCTGTACTTATGGCTGTCACCCTCACTGTACCTGTAGTTATTTTCCCTGTAAGTAATTATTTTTTAAACAACTATATGCTGCAGTCATTTAGTGATTTGGCAACTCCTGTTTATTAATTGAAAAACTGAAGAGTTTTTCTCTTAACTGAAAAAGGAAATTTATTCTGCTAAACTTGATAAATTTTAGCTATACTGTTAATTCAATAAACATGTAACATTTACTAAACAGTAATACAAATATATTCAGTTACACAGTTTTCCTGGTATGATTATATGGGGAAATGAAACAGATTGCCACTCTGTAAAAAAGCTTACACTGTTGTATAATCAGCTTACAGAAGCCAGCATGTTTTTGTACATACCTTGTGGTGGCAATCTGGCCATTTATGAGTATATTGTTGAGCAGTGTCTCTAGATGGTACAAAATTTCCTGGAATTTTTGTTCAAACCAGATACTTTTCCTTGGGTTTTTTTCTCCATATTACTTTTGTCTTTCACCTTCTATTAAAATCTGAAGCATTCAGGAAAGTTATGTTAAAATACTTTCAGAAGGGAGGTCTAACTCAGGTGCCAAATCACTGTCTTCCAAAATGAAGACTAAACTGTCTCTTTTTTTCCCCCTGTCTTCCAAAGATCCGCAGTTCCATTACCCAGCTGCTGTGGGCAGGGAAGGAGTTCAGCTGGTGGCGTCACTGTTCCATTACCATTTCTCTCCTGGCATTTACCAACCTGCTGGTTATCTTTGTCCCTACTATTCGAGACATCTTTGGATTCATTGGTAAGCATTGTCTTGTCAGATCAAGCAGTCTTTTGCATTTCAGAAAAAGCAATTACAGTCTAATTAGAGTATATTTACCTGTTTATGAGTATTTATTTCCATGCTTTTTCTCTACAGGTGCTTCTGCGGCTGCCATGCTGATCTTTATACTTCCTTCTGCCTTCTACATCAAATTAGTGAAGAAGGAACCAATGAAGTCAGTGCAAAAGATTGGGGTATGTATAGACAAAAATGTAACTACTATAGACAACTATGTAACTAAGAATTTGCTTACTAATTCAAAACAAAAAAAATAAGTATCTTCATGATTTATGAATTTTGAAGTCCTGTTGAAGGTAGTCAGTGAATTAGCATTTAATGTTATCTTGTGTAGTTGCAAGGAGCTGCGGGAACTCAAAACCAAGGAACTGGCCATCACAAGACTCAGTTCACTTCAGTGAGTTCTCTCAGCCCCTGGCCCCAAATCTCAACAGTAGCTGGGTCATTCTGTTGCTGGTAAGAGCCAGATTTCAACAGAATACCCTAAGAACTGTATTTAAAGGACCTTAACATTCTTTAAATATTCTTTTAAGACTTATTGACATAGTTTTCTGCTTAAAAGCTCGTATCTGCCAGTTGTTTGGGTTATCTTGATTGTTCTTGGTGCTCTTACTAATCATAGACATACTGACTCATAATGCAGTCAGATATACTGAGACAGTCAAGTTAGCACAGTGGCATAGCCTGACTGGTTATCAGCAGCTACATTCACTTCCCTTAGCTGAGGGTGAGGTCTGCTATACTGAAAATAAATATACTTTCTGATTTGAGAAAGGACCCCAAATATGAGAAAGACACTTAGCTCCTTGTCATTGACTTGATCTCTTGTCTCTTTTACTTTGTGCTCTGTGAGCAATGGCATTTGTGCTAGTTCATGGGCATGAATTTATAGGTGAAATGTTGTGTTTTACCAACAGTGTCATAACAGAATCTGAAATACTTCTTTTATGTTTTCTTTTTCAGGCTTCATTCTTCTTTCTAAGTGGTATACTTGTGATGACTGGGTGTATGACACTGATTATTCTAGACTGGATCCAGAATGTTAAATCTGATGGCCATTAACTGCCCTGATTTAATCTCTGTAATACACCACTTCAAATGCCAGTGTTCACTCAGATACCTACTGGGAATGAAAACGAGCTATTCAGCTTCCTTTAAAAGGCAGATTCTTTGTTGATGGTTCTTCTGATTGTAGAATATCTGAACTGTGTCTTTAAGAAACTATTCTGCATGATGGAAGTGGATATTGACATCAAACCACGTGAGTGTCTGGCTGAAGGAAGTGACAACTTTATTCCATTCCAGAGAATGGACAGAACTCTCTGTAGACTTCTATCAAGCCATGTTTGGCTTTCGTCATTGTTACTTGGATATTTTGTTATTTTACTTGAATGTGCCTAATGGAACCATTTGATGTGAGAAAGAACTCTTTAATTTACAGCAAAGTGTTTAAATAACCAATGAGAGAGCAAGAGAAAGAGAGAAACACTATTATTTTTTGTACCAAAAATTCTTATGGACCTCAAAAGCACTATTTTGACTTTAAGAAACATTTTTCTAAAAAGAATGAAAAAATCACATAGAAGAGCTTGGAAAAATATTTAATTAGTGTCCTAAATTAAACTTAGTTTGATTTTCTTGATCTCTTAACTCATGTCACCAGTGACAGGACCCAAGGAAAGGGCATGAAGCTGAGTCAGGGAAGTTTACGTTGGATATCAGGAAAAGGCTTTTTTACCCAGAGGGTGGTTGGGCACTGGAACAGGTTCCCCAGGAAAGTGGTCACAGCACCAGCCTGACAGAATGCAAGAAATGTTTGGACAACTCTCAGGCACATGGTTTGATTCTTGGGATGTCCTGTGCAGGGCCAGGAGTTGGACATGGTGATTCTGATGGGTCCTTTCCCTCAACATACTTTATGATTCTGTAGAGGCATAGTTAGAAGAAATTTTATTTTTAAAATGCTTCTAATGACCAAAACAGAAAATAAACCAATTCAGGTCAAAGTTTTCTGATACTAAATGCTTCCCATGAAGCTCCCTTAGAGAAAATAATCCTGAAAATTATTTCAGACTTACATAAGTAACTAGAGTTACCAAAAATGGTGTGGAAATGCAAATTTTCAAACTTCAAAAAAATCCACCCTTTGTAAAAGGGTACATTCGAGAAAAGCGTAGGTAATCTAAAATTGTAAAGATGGCATTAACATTTCCCTTCTTGAGGTACTCAGTAGTGCAATTGAGTAAAACAGGGTCTGGGGTTTTTGCTTTTTGGGGGTTTTTTTTCCTGTTATAGGTAGGAACTGAATGGCACTGGAGCACATGATGCCATTAATACAAAATTTCCTCCTCAAGTTCCTTTTATTATTAAGGTCCATTGTCAGTTGTAACAATGTTTGTTGGGATTTTTTTCTATCCAATCTATCTTGAAACACTCTGTAGGAAAACAGAAAAGTCCTAATGTAGTCTTCTAGTTGTATAATATTTAAAAACTGTACAGTATTTCTCAAATTCCTTATCCATTATTGGATTTTGAATTACTTGATTATTCTGTTTCTGAGTCAAATTCACAAAATAACTGCACCAATATTTCATGCTTGGTACAAACTCTCTTCACATACACAACTGGGATTCCTCTTCCAATTTATACTGTGTAGTAGTATTAAAGATAACCTCATAGACTGGATAGTCATCTCATACTTGTTTGCTTCAGAAATAGACATGTTTCTAGTGAGCCCTATCTGATGAAGCAGGTGCTGTATGGTTGTGATGAGCTATTTTGTTTCTAGTGCATGTTTGCTCTTTCATTCTTGTCCCAGGTTGAAGAGAGGTAGCATTTGTATAACAGTGTACTTGGCTTATAAGAGGTTCTCAAACAGCAATATCGGGTACAAAAGCCTAGATAGAGATTATTAATGAAATAGTCATGGCAATGTGGTCAACTGTCTTCATCTGACACGATGCTTTAAAAATCTCATTTATGAAGTCCCACTCAGTCATCGTGTCAGGGAGACCAAGTAAAGGCCTGTAATCCGTTGATTAAACAGTGCCTGAGACTTTTTTGCTCTTGTAGAATTAATCAGAAATAAATCTAAACAATAGTCACCATTTGGCAGATAATGTCAAGCTCTGCCCAGCCATTTAAAATCTATGGAAAAACAACTGCAGGTATTTTGTATTGATACTTCTGCATGACTGTAAGTACTGGTCACTAAGACTATATAGTAAAACTGTAATGACAAGTTAGATTCCTCATGTGTTATTTGTATAATTAATTCAGTGGTACTCAACTGGCAATTAATGATCCTGGAGTCAGCACTGACTAATGCTCTGTAGGTACTTCTCTGCCTCAGGTACTGTACATCCATGGCTAACTATCCCATGTTACCTGATCTCCACAGAAGTGCTGAGCATGTGCCTCCTCAGTACTTTGGCAGCTTTTCTTCTTCCTCCACAAATGTGTAAAGGTGGAAGAGGATTAAAATGTTGTCTACCTTTGAGCAATTTGTAGCACATAAGGGATGAAATTCTTCCCTTTAAAAAGAGGAAAGAAAGTGAGAAATATCCTCCTTTCTCAGAGCAACCATAGAAGAGGAAGGAGTTGTTAGTGAGAAGTTACTACCAAGTCCTTCTTGGCAACCAGAAGGGAAGAAGATTATTGCGATGACACCTCATAGTGTATTGTACATGTCACTAATTCTCTGAATGTAGCAATTTCCAGATTATACATTATGTGTTATATAATTTGATGACTGACTCTTCACCTGCAACAGTTGAGTTCCACTTGGCTGGGTCGATTTCCAACACGTGATTTTTTTTTAAATTATTATTTTTCCAAACCTGTCTGTTTAAAGTTACCTACATTGCAAACCACCTAAAAGAGCAGCTTCAGTATTAAACCACTGTTCTGTCACCTCAGTTAGACATTACTGTCTTCCATGATATTTCAGTCATAAATGTAACATGTTATTTATAAAGCATTAATCCATTAAAACTAAAACTATTTTTCAATATTTATGATAGTCTATGTACATAAATTGTATGTGTGTATATACTGTAAGTATAATGTATATAATGTAGGTTTGGAGTCCAGGATTTATGTATATATTCCTCTCTCATTACTGATTGTTACAGCATTTCAAGGAGTTGTCCATGTTGTACATCTGCGTAACAGCTGTCAAAGGAAAGAGCCTTTTTCAACAGTGTAATGCTTACAGAGATGAAAGGAGTGTGTTATGCCTAAGGTGTGTAAGAAAACACTAAGACTGTATTTATTACAAATGTATATGTTGCAATAAACACCGGAATCCCTTGGGTCCATAGAAAGCATTGTTGAGGTTCATGTGTACTTTCTCTCTGATTCGCCATGGATGTTAGGATTCCCTGAATGCAGCAGTTAGCCACCTCTGCGATCCAGCGCGCGTCCCTCCCGCGGTACATCCGTGTACATATGTAAATACCCACCCTCCTGGGAGAGGCCAGCAGCCTAGCTACCACTGCTGGCTAGACTGGTGGCCAGCAGCACAGTTTCAATGAAACATTGTATGTTTGTTTTAACTGAAATAAATAAACAAATAATCCTAAGCAAGGGCGTGATGTTTTTCTTGGGGGAGGCATTTGGAGGATTTTCTTTAGAGATTATGCTAAAAGTGTACCTCTAATTTCATGTATATTTAACTTACTGAGCACTTTTCAGAAAAGATGGGGAGGAAAATGGTATGCAACTATATCCAAAACTTCTGACACTACAAGGGTTAAGAGAACGAGTCTGGGCATGAGAGATCAAATTCCACAAGGAACTTGCATTAAGTAATTTCTTTTGTGGAAAAGGCATAGCTGGAGACAAGATCCAATGTGTTAGATCTTGTGTAAGTGTAATAAATGATTGAGTCTTCCTAAATTCCTATGCCACTTTCTTTCATTTGAATCTCCAGAAGAATAACTGCTTGTGTAAAAAGTTACAAAACTGGTATGCCTGGTTTGCTTCCATTTTGGAAACTGGGTACAAACCAATGTAGCATATGTGTTCTTGGTTCTCCATAAATCTGTATCATGTCATATGAATAACTGTCCCAAAAATTCAGAATTGGTTGAGAGACACTAGAGTCGTAACTCAGTGTGTCATGTGTTCAGCAAAACACTACAAGAGGAATACTTAGGAAGGGTAGTTATATGCTCTGAAATTAGGAAATCCTTAATTAAGGTTGCATTAATTATAAGATTGCATAGCATGTTTTCCTGGAATCCTTGCTTAGTAGCTGTTCATTATTTTATTTTTTTAAGATGCTTTCTGTGTGTGCACAGTGTTTATGTGTTTGCTCAAATTCCAAAGCCCATCCTGATGAGGGATGAATGCCTGCATTCCTTTCTAGTCCTCATTTTAGTGTCATGTTTGTGTAACTTGAATTACTCATTTTCACAGTGTTGCAGGCCTTTAAGAAGGTGTTAATCAGTATACTGCTCTTGGGGATCATGGAGAGGAAGTACTGTGGGACCACCATGTACTTGAGTCCACAATTTAATGTCTTCCACTTGCTTATTTTGTATTTCAGCATTTGGTTACATGCATCTGAAGCATAACTTCAAACAGGTTTTGCATGATGATCATTCTTGGAACAAGAACCCTAAAAATCAAGCTATCCATTAGGAAAGAGTGATCATGTCTGGAAGGGCCCCAGTCTCATAAGGTGTCTGCCCTCACACAGGAATTTCATAGCAGTGCAGAAGCCCTTCCCCTAGAATGCTGCTTGGCAAGCTGAACCATTAGGCTCACCTTTACAATCAGGCAATTCCATCAACTTAAATAACATGAGAAGCAGTCTTTTTCTGCACCTTATTTCTCACAAGAATGGGAACATTGCTTATCTTGTGAGATGAATGAGATGGTGCAATGATTTTTTAAAAAGAAACTGAAATTACATTGGGATGGTGTCTAAAATCCCATGCTTCGAGCCTCTTTGCTTGCCACAAAGTCTTTGCTCCAAAGGAGGGTTAAGTTGTCACTTCAAGTTTATTCACAATGCTGAGCTTTGTGAATGTCTCGAGGTCTGTCCAGGAGGCAGATGGCAACTTTCTTGTAGCTCCTCTGAAATTTGCTTCCTTCTTCCACCCTGGCCTTGCCAAGTCTGTTGTGCCCAAAGGTCGTACCTAGCTGTCTCACCTCCAAGTGTTCATGCAGCAGCTGGATTGTATCAGGTCATGTCCCCAGGTCCCCTGTGGCTTAGCTCATATCCCTGCTTCCAGGGCATCACAGTTCCCATTCAGTCTGTGTGCCCAGGTTTCCTTTCTGGAGACACAGAACAGAGCACGGCCAGCGTGTGCCCAAATTTCAGCTCCAGAAGAAACCAAGATACCATGAGGCAGCCTCTGTTCCTTCAAGGAACATGGACATACCATCCCATTTCCAGGGTAGATGTGCCCAGTAGCAGTTTCTTGGCCTTTCTACTTCCAATCTCTTAAGTGTGACAGTCTAGACCTCACCTGCTTTCACATGCATTTCCTTCTGTCTTCTTGCACAGCTGCTTTTGGCTGTCATAAGGGACTCTTGCTCAGCTCTGTCACTCTTGCTTGCACCTTTGTCCCTGTTTGCCAGCTCCCCTTGAATATCACCTCTTGAAGTTCCTCTTGCAAGCTACCTTCTCATCCCACTACCTTTCTGACTGTGTGCCTGCCCCAGCCCAGCACTAATCCATGCACATTTTCTTTACCCAGCCACAGCTGGCAATATAATCCTTTGATTTTCCTAGTCTCTGCCCACCTTGTCTCCTTATGGAGACCACTGTAACTAATGGCCACCACTGTAACTATAAGCCTTATTTTCATGTTCTCTGGCCACCCTGCAGCTCTTCATCAGCCCAGACAGGGCCACTTCCACACTACATTTAGGCAACCCTTACACGCCCCGCCTTTGGCTGAGCCCAAGCCCTGCTGTAGGGGATGGCAGGGGCAACTTTTCCAGGAAATATGAATTATTATTTTAACTACAGAAAAACATACTCTTTTCCCTGATTTTATTCTCAAATGGGCTAAATAATTTAATCTGATCGTTTTCCCACAGAGATGTAGAAAAGAACCGTCCTGCTGCAGTCACTCATGACAGCAAATGTCAGGAGAATCATCTGAAGCTAGGCACCATTTGAAAGAACAGAAACATACTCCAGTAAGAGAACAGTCAGGTAATCTCAGTAACAGATGGCATAACCAGACATGTTTGAAAATATAATTTAAATTAGAAATAAGTGGTAATTTTTGTTTTCATTAATATTTACATATAGAAAAAAAGTTTTCCAGTTGCAGACCATAAACTGATAGGTGATAAATGTTGGACAGGTACTAGCAATAATGTAGAAACTCAATATGGGTCCTTGAAGGGATATGTAGCTTATATAACTAGCTTTTTCATGTGCTTTAATAGTCTTCTTCACTTCATCTTCAAACAGCTCAGATTGCAGCAAAATTAAATGGAGCCAAATAAGGTGCTCTGGGTATTCCCAAATGCTCAGGAGTTACTGGGCTGGGGCTAATGTAGTCAATCACACATTTACTTTCTGTTAAAATAAATATCAGTTCCTGAGCCTCCAGTATTGTTCCTTCCTGCTCACTGCAGAGAGAGGATTCAATGTGCTGGTGGAATGCACCTTGGGGCTGGAGCCCAGGTGACTACACAGAACAGACAGACAGACGGACAGACAGGTCTCATGAGAGCTGGCATGAACCACCCTCTGAACCACTCTCTCACCCTGCCTCATGCTCAAACCCCACTGAGGACTTGGGCAATGACTAAAACTGGCAGGAGTTTCTGCTGTGGGCAAGGCATAGGGAGCATGCCCCAGCACCGTGGCTGAGGAAAATGCTAAGATGGGGAACAAAAAGGCTGCAGCAGAGTCTCAGTTCTGTGGAAATATGAGCAGCAGCCACAGAGAGCATGAACAGTTTTCCTCTTTTTCCACCAGAAAACAATGGCAACCAGGAGACCTTCAGAAGACAGGTTTGAAAATAGCTGCCCCTAAAATATTTATATCTGTGCTTGCTTTTCTGACATGACTGAGGAGGCATCCACTATGAAACTGTTGCTCTGTGAAGATTACTGGACTTAAATGAAAACTACATATGAGGGATGTGTTTTTCTGGGGAATGAGTGAGGAAGTTCCTAAGAACCCCAGCAGCAGGAAGCTGTGCTGTCACAAGAAGCTGCTGTAACTTCACAAGAAGTTACCAGGGGCCAGCACTGGATGCAGGTATTTCTTGCCAAGCAACAGTGCCAAGAGTGCTGCATCCTCCATCCTGCCTGCAGAAATCAAGCCAAAATATTTTGAGAGCAGAAAATTATGAAATCTGCACTAACACAGATTGACCACCAGTGGGGACTGTCTGTAGCCTGCTGCCATCACCCAGCTCAGAGGGGCTGCATGTTTTCTGTTTGTGTCAGATTTTGGTACCTGCTTTCTTCTCAAAGATCAGATTCCAAAGGTCTCTCTCTCACCTTACTGCAAAGATGACATTTCCAGGCACAAGCAAGGCTTCCATTCTTTTAAACAGATCATTAAAAGTATGGGTGTCTCAGGAAATATTTTGAAGCAAATGAGTCCTGCCTAATGTTCTGATCTTTGTCTGTCTGATTGACACGCTGGGAACAGAGTTACAAGGGCAATTCCAATCTATTTGCACATATATGAAAAGACAGTAAAAAATCAAATGGGAAATTGAATACAGTAATTTCCGCTTCCAGTAAACTGGACAAGAGCCAACACTGATTTCCACACCTAACATTGTTTTTTCTCAGTGCCAGAAAGATCCATGATTCTCAGATTCCTCTCACACATTGTACTATGGAAGCCTGTACTCACTCTAACAGCCACTGCAAGCTGGCTTTTAATCTTCATTTCCTCCATGAGGGCATTCATCTCACATATGCTGTGTTTCACATCCTTGCTCCTTCAGATCTTATATGATTAATGTGAACACTGAACTGATTATGAGACCTAAGTGCAGCAGTCTTTTTTTTTACCCCAAGACCCAGCCCTAAGTACTGCAGTGAGTTCCTATAAACTACCAGAGAAAATACAGACCATGTCACCATCCGGGTCACAGTGTATTTCAAAACCAAGTTTGTAATTTAACATAAAACAAATGTTTTTGTTTTCTTGCTGCCACAGAATTCCACCCATTGTGGTAGGTCAAATACAGCACTTTACTACTACTGCGCTTAACAGAGCCAGTTTCCATCTTGTGGTTAAATTTCTCAACACATTTAAACAATCAGTATCTTGGATCAACACACTGCTTATCTCCAAGTCCCAGTAGAGAAGTCCTATGACGGTTATTATGTCTGAGCATGGTCAACTACTAGAATATCCAGCTGTCCTCCTCTGCAAATTTTAGTTTGGCAGGGAACATCAGTCTTCATCTTCTGCATTTTCTAGCAGCAGCTTTACCAAAACTAAACCTCTGAAGTATTTCCTTTCTTACTTGAACATGGATAAGTGTTAGAAAGAATCAGACACAATCTCTGTCATCCGGAATCATTAAAGAAACAAAATCCTTCTCAAAAAGGCATCAACAACTACTTAGAATAACTACTTTTA